AGGAGCAGTGGGACGGTGGCTCAGAAGCCCCTACCTCTGGGCTGGGAGCAGCGGCACTCAGTACCATGGTCTGGTGGTCCGGTGTCCTCTGCGTCTTTGTACTGTGGAACCAGGTGGCTGTACAGAAGAGCCGGGGGGGGTGATGTCCAGCGGATTGTTGCCAGGGCGTGGGCTGATTTGGTGTGTTCCGCGTGACTTGGGACCTCGGTAGGGTGTTCAAACATACAGTACTTTTAACGCCACTGTTCTTTTCTTTTCTTTTTTGTACCAGGGAAGGAACTCAGAACCTTGCACTTGTGAGACAGGCAGCGGAACCACTGAGCTAAATCCCTGACCCTGCCACTGTTATTTTCTTTCTTTTTTTTTTTTTTTTAGGTACCAGGCATTGAACTCAGGTCCTTGTGCTTGCGCAGCAGGTGGCGGAACCACTGAGCTAAATTCCCGGCCCCATTGTTATTTTCTATCTCAAGCAGTTGATCCTCTTCTTGCATAGACAAAATCAATTCACCTGGCTTATTCACAAATGGGTTGTGGACCCATTCCTTTCCAGTTTGGGGGTCTTTTGTGGTAGGAAGTAATGCTCAAAGTCTTTTGAAGGCTGAGGTAGGTGATCATGCACCAGGTGGGGCAAAGAAGGCCCTGGATCAGGCTCTCTCAAAAATCTCTGTTACAGTTTGAAACATTAAAAATCCCAATGTTTATTTATCACCACTATAATTCATTTGGCTTTGAATATGATCACTTTATCTGCCAACTTAAACACAGTTATCATTCTGCCCTGAAGTGACAGGTTGAGTTTCTTGAGCAGGTTGAATATTTCACAAAAGTAGGCAAGTTTTGTGACCCAGTCTATGTCACTGAAATGTGCTGGTAGTGGTAACTGTCTTCCTGAAAGAAATCTCTTGAGTAGCTCTTATAACTCAGAAATTCTGGCTAGTGATCTACCTTTAGAAAGCTATCTCATGTTTGTGCATAAGAGAAGATGTATGTGTTGTGTGTCCATCTCCTCACAGAGCTGTAGGAACAGATGCAAGTATAGGGAGGGCATGCATTTTAATGTAGTTGACTGAATCACATCCTGGATAGTGTTAAGTTCAGGTCATGTTTTTGACTGCCAGCATCTCTATGATTGGAGCAGTGTAAATTCACATACAGATGTCAATTCTTTGACTTGAATAGTAAAGCCAGAAGATTTTCCAGTCACAGCAGCCACTCCATCTGTGCATGACCCATTCAGTTTTCCTGGTATGTACTCACTCAAAGACTTGAATAGTTCTGCAGTTGTGGTGTTGGATGGCAACAAAAAGGTCAAGGGATTGTCATCCTCCTTATGGTGTTACCAGCACATACAGGTGACAGGAGCTGGACTGAGGCAGAGCCACCTGGGACACCAAGTTATGGGTTTTTTTTTTTTTTGCCTAGTTACAGCCTATGGGTTTGTGAGATATTCCCTTGCTCCAGAAGTCCCACTGTCCGTATACCCCAGGCTAGGCAGTCATCCAAGCTGAGATGTATCCTTGATCACACTGGCAGACAGGGAAAGCAAACAGACCCCTGAAGTCTGTGCTAGCTTTAGGCAGAGGGCAGGAGAGTCAAACAGTCCATTGGATTTAATGCAAGCACTCTCAGACCCTGCCCCCTCCAAAAGTCACAAGTACCATCCTGGGTTCTCAACTTGGACAGCAGGAACTCTGTGCTCTTCCTAACCTGAGTTTACACTTCTCAGGAGGGTCTATGTCTAGCCTGTGCCCTCTCCATAACTCTCTTATTGCTGTCTCCCACCCAGTCACTGTGGTAGGATGACCCCAGAAACTCTGAAGTGTAGTTTTTCTGAAGGTCTGTCTTAAACCCTGGGAGAACCCTTCTCAAAATGGCTCCTGATTAAAATTTTCAGATATGGTGGGTGTTGTACTGGATTTCTTCTCTAGCCTGCCATGTGGAAGGAGTCACTTTCAGAGTAAAACTTCATGTTGCTATGAAATTTACAATAACCATGTGCTTTTCCTGGGGCTAACACTGCTGATCCAGTCTGTTGTTTCTCCCTAGAGCTGTCAACCCTCTCTGGGCTTACCTTGTGTCAGTGGACACATGTTCCCCTCCCTGGGAGCTAGGGTTCCTTTCCTGACTGGTTTGTTCTTTTTTCTACATTGTGTTCCATTTCTCCAGCTTTTCTGATGTTTTTAGCTTTTCAGTCAACTCCCTCCTAACTCCCAGATATCTACTTCTTTCTTTCTTTTCACCAAGTTTTATTTTCCAGATGTCTTTAGTGTAGGTGCTAGAGAGGCTGGACTTGTCTTTGTCTTTTGATAGTTTTTTAAAAAAATGGTAAGTCTACATGCAAGTCTTTATAAATTTATCCTGCTTGGAGCTTGTTGAAAGTGTGGATTAATGTTTTTATCAAAACTGGAAAAAAATTTCAGTCATTGTTTCTTTCAAATATTCTTTCCTCTCTCCCATGATTACCATGCTGTGTATGTTAGCATTCTTCATGGCAAGCCTTTGAAGCTGTTTATTTTCTTTGGGTTTTGTTCCACCTTTGTCCAGTCCTCAGACTGGTTAATATCAATTCCTTGACCTTCAAGCTTGCTCATTCTTTCTTCAGCTTGCTGAAATCTGCTCTTTAGCCCCTTTGGTGAATTTTTAACTTTAGTTACTGTACTTTTTAACTCCACATTTTCTGTTGGGTTCTTTTTCAATGACTTCTGTCACTTTATTGATATTCTGTTTTGGAGATGTTGTTCTAACATTTTCTTTAGTTTGTTGACATGGTTTCTTAGTCGTATGTTTTTTGAATATATTTAAAATTGTAAATTTAAAGCTTTGTCTAGTAACAACTGGGATTCTCCAGGACAGGTTACTTTCTTGTTTCTTTGAATGTTTTACACCTTTTTGTTGAATATTGGATATTTTTAAAACATGACATGTGAGTTTTGGAAATTCGATTCTTCTGCCTCTCGTTTGTTATTGTTGCTGCTTATTGTAGTTATTTGTTTAGTGACTTTCCTGAACCAATCCTGTAAAGTCTGTATTCTTTGTCATGTGTGGCTTCTGTAGTCTCTGCTTGGGTAGCTTAGAGGTCAGCTATGATTGTGTTGGGGAGGCAGCCTCATGAGTACTATCTCTTGACCCTCTGGTGGGCTACGTAAGAATGAGCTTTGGGCCTGGGAAATTTCTTTAGTAGGAGATTAAAGAGCCCACACAGTTTGTGCCTTGTGTAAGAATTCTTTCCCTGTTGTAAACTCAATATCTCTACCTTTGTATGCTTATGTGTATGCATCAGTGGCCCTTAGTTTTCCATTTTTCAGGCTTCATGGGGAATGGAGTAGGACCTCTTTGGCACAAGAGGTCAATTATCTTGCATCAGCTATGGAATGCTGGGACTCACTAGCTATGGGGAAATAAGACACACAATTCAATCTGATCTTGCCTAGTCTTTTCTCTATGTAAGTAAAGTATTGCTCCATCATGTATGCATCTCCTTGGAGATCCCACCAAGATTCAATGAGCAGATGTATTAGAGTCTGCCTCTGGGAGCAGTGATCAGTACATGATGCCATGATAACCAGTGCGTAATGTTCTGTTTAGCAGTTTGGCACAGTGAGCAGGGTTGACAAAGAAAAACACAAGACCATTGTTCCAGGGTGGGGCCAGCTCCCTGGGGCATGATGGGCTGACTGAGGTGCTGACCACTGTCTGGGTGCACAAGGATAAATGAGATTTGGCTCTAGCACTCTCATCATGTGCTAGAGATTATAGTTGATGGATCCCTTTGAATGGCAACTCCTTGCTTGCATTGGATACTAGAGGAGACCAAGTGTCTGATGGCTGTAGTGCTATATGTAATACTATGTCTGAACATCCCTCACTCAGGTGCTTTCACCAGGTAGTCTAATGAGTGTGGGACTGCCCACCCCAGTGTTAGGTGTCCTTCCTTTTGTATAATTCAGGTGAGGGTATTGCATTTTTTATTGGTCTGGTATGTCTGATAAGCTCATTGGCCTGGCTTCCTCTGATATAATTTAGATATGTCATGTGTCCAGTGTTCTTTTTTTTTTTTTTGGTACCAGGGATCGAACTTGGGTCTTTGCACTTGCGAGGCAAGCAGCATCCAGTGTTCTTGATTAATTTGATAAGTTTATAGGTGGAAACTTTTTATTGGTAAGATTAATTTACTTTGCAGTTCATGCCTTTATTATTGTTTGGTGAAGCTGAGAGTTTTTAAAAATAAGTTTGGTGTGTCTAAAATCTGGTGGTTATTTGTACAAAGAAGTTACCAAGTCATTCTGCCTCATTACTTGCACTAAAAATGGTGCAAACTGCTATTTTATGAAATGGAGTCATTCAGGGCAAAGCCCAGCCTGAAACCTATTAGTCTATGCAACATAGATAAGTCATGGTGGGACACAGCCTGCTCTACACAGAGGGATTTTGGTTTTCAGTGGGGTTTTGGGGCTGGAAAGTGAGAGACTGGACCAGGCTGAGTTAAAATACTGTGAAACTCTCTGTTCTTGCATCAAATTTTTCCTAATTCTGCATAGTCTCAACTTCCTCCGTTTTTTTCTTACTTCCTTAAAATCAAGCTTCCTCCTCCAAAAAAATATGACTGTCACCCAAGGACTGATAGTCATTTAATTTACAAGTCAAATGATCTTTTTTGTTGACTTTCTCAAGTCCTCAGCCGTTAACACTTTGGACCAGAGTAGTCTTCCTTCTACCTTTCCTTTGTATTATTTTTATTCTTCTTTTGTTTAGACAATAAAAAGTGACCAGTATGACCAGATCCAAGTAAGCAGACGATGGGTAATAGATGACCTGTGTACCTCTCAACTTCTTTGATGGGTCCTTCAGGGCCTCCCAGGTGCTACCACACTCTGTAGCCACAACTGAGACACTCTTCCTGCTGGAATCAATTCATCCTCCCACATTCTCGGTCACCTTTGGGATCCCCAGCCTGAGAAGCAGGAAGGAACCTGAACTGCTCCCCATGTACACCCTTCCTGGCCCACCTCCAGAATGTCTCTTGGTGGCAGCTTTGTTTGTCATCATCTGTGCCTGAAGTATTCCCTCTACCCAGGCCCCTATGTATCCTTCCTGAGAAGAGCAAGATAGTTGTGTGAAATCTACACACACTTGAACTTCTGTGACCTATTCAAGACCACTCAGACTCGTGATGTAAGTTTTGAAGTTCTGGTGGGTGGCTCCAGCCACCAAGGCCAAGGCTCTTTGCAGCCCATGCACCATCACATGATGGTGAAGAATGAGACCTAAGTGCAGAAGAAAAGCAAGTTTATTTGGTGTGGACCACGGGATGTTTTCATGGCTGGTGAGAAAGGAGGGTGAGCAGGTTCCTTGGGGATAAAGTAGCCTTGTCATTTCCCAGTGCATGGGCCATCCTTCTGGACTCTGGGCAGGAGCAAGAAATGGTTCTGTAGGGAGGAGAGTGTAGGAGAGAGACTCAAAGTCATTGATCGTATTGGTGCTGGCCCAATATCGAACCTGCCCTCCAGAAGGACAAGAGGAGCCTGAGGTTGGGGGCTCCTTGTGCCTGTGTTTTAGTGACTGTGTGACTATACCTATGTGGACTTGTATGCAGTGTCTGCATGTGTGTGCACACATACATGAGAGTGCTGGTATGAGAATACCTGCACCTGTATCGCCATGTATGTTTCTGTCTGGCATTTATGTGTGTATGAGTGTGGTGTATGTGTGTGTCCATGACCATGTATGTTTCTCTTTGTGGCTGTGTTGCTAGGGCACATGTGTGTACTTCTTTCAGCTTTCTGTGGATATCTATGTGAACTACTGTGTGTATCTATGGGAGTGCTTGTCTCTTTCTTTGGATGTTGCTGTAATATGGATTTTAAATATTCCTCAAATGCCCTGTGTTGAATGCTTGGTCCCCAGGTGGTACTGCTGGGGGTGGTAGAACCCTTAGGATGCAGGGCCTTGTGGGAAGTCTTCAGGTCACTGGAGGTGTGGCCTGGAAGGGGACAGTGGGGCCCCAGCCCCTGCTTCTTTCCCTGTTTGCCCTGTAGCTGATGAGGGAGTAGTTTTGCTCTCCATGTGCTCCCACCATGATGTACTGCCTCACTGAAAACGTAGGGCCAATCAGTCATGGACTGAACCTCCAAAACTGTGAGCCAAGATGAACCTTTCCTCTCTACCAGGTATTTGCTCTAAAACCCCTGCTGCCTTCTACCAGAATAACAGCCAGCCCCAAATCCTGTGGTGCAGGGAACAGCACTTACCAGCTCAGCAGAGGGCAGGTTCCCTTCCTGGGAGGCCTAGACCTTGATGACAAATTGTACCCCATGGAGCAGTAACTCTGGAAAATAAAAACACCAGACTGGGGTCACGACCTGGAGGGGAAGGTGTTCAGGAAGAGCTCATACTCCTGCCGGGGACAGGACCAGGGAATGGGAGCATTGGAAACCCAGCAGTGCTCAGGCAGGTGGGAGGGACTGGGCTTTCTTTTACCATGCAGCTCAGTTGTTCTCAAGGTCAGGCCGAGGGAGAGGCAGGCTACCTACCTCAAAATTATGTGGATAATTCAGGGGAACAAAGAAACCCCAAACAGGGAAAGTTGGGGCCAGAGGGATGTAGTGGTCCCATAGTGTATAGGTACACAACGCCTTGGGGGAATCACTGTTTCTGCAGCATATTTACCAATAATATCATGAACCAGCGTGATGTCCAAGAGCCTGAGCACCTCGTTGACCAGAGGGCAGACCTATCCATGGGCAGAGAGAAGAGTTAGGCCAAGGGCACCCAGAGGGCGACCCCGAGAGTGGCAGCACCCCCCAGCGTGGGTTTTCCTGGGGAGATTTTCTCTCACCTTTCTGTGTCTGAGTGTTGACTGGATTAATTGCCTGGGTTAATGTTCACACACACACATTAAGCAGAAGAGAAACTTAAGGCAGGGTTTATAAAGTTCCCCAAGTGACACGAGTCTGGGGTGCCCTCCCTGATGACGGATCTGTGCAGTGCTCGGGGGTGGGGGTGGGGGTGGGTGGGATGAGTTTCTGGTTACAGTTGGCACCTGAGCATGGCCTGGAGGCTGCTTTTCTGTGGCCCAGAGCACTGGGCAGGGAGCTTCTCAGGGCAACTCAGGCCCACTGTGGTGGAGACATGCACAGGGCCTGGCCCCAAGCTGGAGCCCTTGGACAGCTGGACCAGATAGATAGACTGATGGATGGAGATTAGCTCTTCCTAGGCCTACTTTTCAGCTTGAGACACTCTAGGCTCCATGGAGCAGAGGACTCCCACCCCTGCCTTCTTACCTTGCCCTGCACCAGCTCAGGGAGGACTTTATTGAGGATATCTGTGAGGCCATCTAGAAGGCCTTGAACAGGCTGAGGAGCAATTCTGGAAGAGAAAAGCCATGGCCTTGAGAAGTCTTCAGAGGGCCACTGTCCACCCTCAGTCTCAGCAGCAGTAGCTGAGACCTAGTTTGTCCACTCACCCCCACGAGCAGACAAAGAGCAGGCCCTATCTGCAGGGAGTTACGCTCCTCAGAGCAGCACACACAGCTCCAGGATGCAGTAGGTGTTCAGCAAGACTCTGCAGAGTCCACCAATGTGTAAACAGGGCTTAGTATATAGTTGTTATGTGGGCTTTGAGATGATACATGAACCATAGTATGTGTATTCAGTGAATGTCAGCCAAGGTTTGAATAACTTGTATATTGTGTGTGACTCAGTCTCCCTACATGTCAGGTCACTGACATAAGTAACTTAGAATAGGCGAGGCTTAAACTCAGAATCTCTCTCTCTCTCTCTCTCTCTCTCTCTCTTTCTTCTTTTCTCTCTCTTTCTCTTCTATCATTCTTTTTTTTTTTTTTGTATAGGGGATCGAACTCAGGACCTTGCGCTTGTGAGCCAGGCGCTGGAACCACTGAGGTAAATCCCTGGCCCCATTCTTTTTTTTGAGATAGGGTCTCACTGTTGCCTAGGCTGTCCTTGAATTGGGCTCAAGCGGTCCTCTGACCTCAGTCTTCTGAGTACCTGGGACTCCAGGTGTGTACCACCGTGCCCAGGTTAAACTCAGATTTCTTGTGGTCTGATCCAACATAAAAATCCAGTCTTCCAGGCTTAACAAGGGATAAGTGACTATTTACCCACCCACTTACTCATCCATCTGTCTATACATCTGTCTGTCCATCCATCCTTCCCTCTACCCATCTAACCATCCACCTTTCCATCCGCCCATTCATTCGTCCATCCGTCTATCCATCCATCCTCCCTTCTGTTCTCTTACTCATCCATTCTCCCATTGTTCCATCTTTCCAATCACTCGTTCCCCACCCCACCCTGTTGTCTCTGAGCTGAAGAAGGGAGCTCTCTGGTCTCACCCTTTAAACAGGTAGATGTGAAGGCTGCCGGGGGAGTGGGTGCAGTCACCAATCACCAGGTGGACTCTCCCCTGGTTGTCTCTCTTGGTTAAGACTTCTGCAGTGATGTTTAGCCTCAGGCTCAGCTCCAATAGACTTGTGACCAGGGGCCTGCAGAGGAGATAGCCCTACTGGCATGTGGACCGATCACATTCAAGGAGGATGGTTTTTTTTCCTCCTCGGGAATACCAGCCTCCTGTCACTCTTCTTGCCCACAGTTGTCCTCTTTTGACCTCCCAGTAGGGGGCACCAGGGATCAAGTAGGTCAAGTGATCTAAGGTGTCCAGCATAACAGGGAATAAACTGAAGTTTCAGGCTCAGATCTGTTCCATTCCAACACCCCCTTTTTGGCTACTCACAGCCACCAGGGTTTTCCTTGGTGAGCCACCCTTCCATCCTCCTTGGACCTACTCACAATTTCAATTCAAGGTTCAGGCCCAGAGGGATGGTGACATAGAGGCGATGGCCATCAGGGCTCTGTACAAGGCCAAGTTCCAGCAGCTGGGGATTAGTGATCCTTAAGCTGTTCAGTGAGCAACATTGGAGGGAGAAACATTAGTTCCTTGGGCTCCAAACCCAGAAACCATCTTCAACCCAAATGTATCCATGTCAGAGGGGAATTTACCACCTGAGAAGAGGGAGACAGGAGAGGAGTCTTGCACCCAAAGCCACACAGGCTCTGAGCCCCACACCCATCTTTCCCAACCTCTGCTTGGATCAGATCCTGACATGTGCACTCTTTCTTTATGTCAAGTCTACGCAATGTTTGGGACAGGAACTATGTTTGGGTTCTGTTTACATCCTGTGTGCAAGCTCTGAGCCTCACAGAGAAAGTGGGTGACTATGGGTGGATGGGAAGGTGGGTAGATAGATATGTGGGTGGTTGGATGGAAGAGGAAGTGGTTAGATGAAAGGAAGGATGAATGAATGGGTGGATAGACTGGTCAGTGGTTGAAAGGATGATATATGGACAACCAGAATAAACCTTGTACAGACATTTATGGGTGGGAATCACTCATCCTGTCATGGTCTTTAATAGCAGGTCAATCCTCAATGTTTATCAAGGGGATGGAAGAGCAGGAATAAAGGAGAATGAAGAAAAGGTAAGAGGAAGCCTTCTCTGAGTCAGCCATGGTGCCAGGTGATTTATATCTTCCTCCATCTTCTCAACAGTCTTTCTCCATGGGTACTACAATCTCCATTTTCCAGATGGAGAACCAAGCCCAAAGAGTCTGAGCACCTCATCTCAGGTCATCCAGCAAGTATAGTACATTTGTAAATCAAACTCAAGTCTGTCTGTCTTCAAGTCAGGGATCAGGCACTGGGTGGGTGGAGAAGGTGGAAATGGCTTTGATCCAGCCCTATCAGGGCTCCAGGTTTTGCCAGCACAGTGGCATCAAGCTTTCCATTATTGCTTTTTGCTTAGCAGGCTTTCTTTCAGGTATCTCATGGGAAATATGAGATTTTTCCATCGTCACATTACTCATAGTCATCGTGATGATATAGTTGAGGAGTTAGCTCACCCTTTTTTGCTTACATCAAAAGCCACTTGTCTTCTAAGTGATTCCACAGGTGGGGAGAAAAACTGACCACAGTGTAGTGGAAATAGACTTGGCTTTGGACTTAGGTAATTTAGAGTCCTCATTCTCCCTGAGTACATGTTTCTGTGCCTCTGTTCCCCCATCCATGAACTGGGGATGATTAAGCTGATCTCGAAGGGTTGTCATCAGGCTTATAGATGTTTCTGGAACCCCAGGACATGCTTGAGGCCTGGGACCAATTACTTGTACAGGGGGCCCAGTGTTCCCTGCCTGGCTAAAGAAGGGTCTCAGTGATACTGCCTCAGGGCTCAGCTACTTCCACCCTCCTTCAGGACCACTGCCTGTGACCGGCAGATCTTTGACCTATTTGGGGGCAACTTACTCAATGATGTTGTTCAGGAGAGGAATCCCTGAAGTCAGAGTTCCAAGCAGGCCCCCAAGCAGACCACCAGAAGTGCCTCCTCCAGGCTTCAGGATGTTTAAGAGTGGAAGGTTTTCCAGAACGCCCAACAGACCCCCTGAGAGCAGGCCATTGGTGAGGGCTGCAAAAGGTAGAAAGTCTCTGGAATTCAGATCCTCAGGGCTTCCTCTTATTGGATGGTTGGACATACACTTGCACACACACGCATATATCTGAAAGAGGCTGTCACAGACTCACCGCCAGTCAGGCTTCCCTGAGGATCCTCATGCTTCAAGGACAGAGCTGGTGTCACATACAAGGGTAGGCCTTGGCCCAGGGGCAAGGGCTGGCCTTGCCCCAGTGGCAATGGCACCCCCTGGCCCAGTGGCAATGGCAGGCCACCACCAAGCTGGGCTGTGGTCTGGGCCAGCAGCCCACAGAAGACAATGAGGCCCCCAATTTGAAACATTTCTCTTGGTATCTGTGGACAGAATGACAAATCCAAGGTGGCACAGAGGAATCCACTCAAGGCCTACACCCTGACCCTGAGAAGGAATTTCTTACTTTTTTCTTCTCTAGGACACCAGGGGGTGACCGGTGATAATAACTAGCACTGTTGGGGATTTCTCTGTGTCAGACAACAGGTCTATCGCTTTACTTGGTAACCAGTTTCATCATTACCACATCCGAAGATGTGGGCACTTGTTACTGCATCACACAGCTGAGGAATCAGGGACCTAGTGACTGAGGCAATCTCCCAAAGTCTCAAGCACACAGTGGCCAGAAGATTTGACGCCAGATCTATTTCACCTAAAGGGCTTTAGGAGGAAGCGGCCAACAGCTTCACTTTCCAGCTGGGTTTGCTGGTAATGGCTTGAGTTCTTGCCCTTCCAGCAAACCAGATGGAAAGACTCACTCATGCTAACAGCTGAAGACCTGAGCTGCTTTGCCACCATCCCTACTCAGTCCTTTGGTCGGGGTTTAGGCGTGATGATTTGTAGACGCCCCCACAAGCCACACAATGTCACAGTTGTGTAGACACAGCCATCATCTCAATGCAGACCTAGGCTAGGGAAATCCTGGGGCCATCCAAAGACCTCCGTGTGCACAGAGAATCAAGAGAAGAGAGAGGGTAATGACTTTCATACAGTCACATAGCAAAGTGACGGCAGTGCTATGCTTGGAGGCAGGTCTCTGAACCCTTCTCCACTCTTTTTTACACCTTTCTCTTCTCCCTCAAGCTGCCCTGGATGAATGAACAGGATGACCCTGAGGTCTGGGAACCTTGTGAACTGGCTGCTTCCCAGATATTACTGACCCCTTTGCAGGTCTGTTTGGCAGCCCCCCAAAGTGTCCAAAGCCGGAGTTAGGACCTCTGCTTTGGAGATGACCAGCTGATTTGGGTAAAATTCCATCAACTGTCGCTGAATGTGTTGGGCAACCTTTATAAATCCAGTGGCAGCTAAAGACCCTAGATTCAGAAAAATTCATCAAAATGTACAAAATTGGATGAACAATCTTAAGAGTTTTGTGGGTGACCAGCAACCTTACATTAAAATTCTTGCCTTGGAGTTTTTTTTTTTGGTACCGGGCATCAAACTCAGGACCTTGCGCTTGCTAGGCAAGTGGTGGAACCACTGAGCTAAATCCCCAGCCCATGGAGCTTTTAAGTTAGAGTGTAAACAGCACTCATTCTCTATGAGTGTTGCTGGTCTCTTAGGAAAGCAGAGTGCATGGCCCTCTCCATGTCCCTGGCCAGGGCAAGCCTTGTTTCCTTGCAAGAACCTCAGTAAGTAGCCCCAAATGCCATCCATCCATGCCTGCCCACATCCAGGAGCCTGGCATCCCTGTCTCTTGGGCCAGAAGAGCCGCAGCAGGAGAGGTGGGTCTCACCTGGGTTTCGCAAGATCTCAGCCGCTGTCCCGGTCTCCTTCGCCCTCTGCTCACCTTTGCCGAGGAGGAAGCCTCTTTTATAGCAAGAGAATCAGGAAATGCGGGACTAGATGATGAATTTCTAGATAATTGGGAATTGTGCCATCCAGTGGTGTCTTTCAGGGCTCTGCAAAGCAAATAATTGCCAACCATCTTGGCAGGTGAGGCTGCTAAACTATTTGGTCCACAAGTTAAACAGAAAAGCTTGAGATAAGGATGTTACTCAAGACTTCATGGTTTCATGCATGGGGGGACCCACACTTCCAGAGGACCAGGAAGATCAAATTCGGGGCACTGGGAGGGGCAGCCTGTGGGACCCCAGTAAGTGACCTCAGTCTCATCCCTTGACCATCTTCCTTCTTGGGACTGGTTACTTTTTTTTTCCAACTGGAGAAATCCTGCTTCTACAATGTCAAGAGTCAAACTGCTTCCCTATCTGGCTTTCTGATCTTGGGGTGTCTCTCAATCCTAGAGTGGGGTTTTTCTATTTTCTGAACCCCTAGTGAATGAGTCATATGACAAGAATCCTGTGAGAGGAAGGCTATTGCTCCTCTTTCACAGAAGAGGAAACTGAGGCCTCATGGAGACAAGTGACCCAGACAGCATGTGGTTGAGTTAGAACTCAACTCATTGGATAAGAATGGTGATAAAAACAATGCCAAGAGCCAACCCACTCAGCTCTTGTCATGTGCCAGGTTCCCACAGCCCTGTGTTCAGTTTTTACTTGGCTTAGAGGGGGCTCAGAGCATGGTGATACGTCCACAGCTGCACAGCGGGTGTGGGCAAGACAGTCACATCTGGTCTTTTCTCTTCATCACTGTGCTCAGCTGAGGCTGAGATGCCTTCTTCACGCCCTCTGCCCATTTTGATTTCCCACATCTGTGACATTCATGATCACACACTTTCCACCTTTATGTTCTGGAAAAATTGCTCTAGGTTCCCAGGCCTGAGGGATCCCATGTACCCTGGTCCCTCCCTTTACCCTTCCTTGTACTCTTTCCCCAAGGGAACAATAAGACATTTGTCTCCACCACTTGGGGGGCTGGGAACTGCTTTACAAATGGAGAAACTGAGGCCCAGAGAAGTCAAGGTCCTGAATCTGTGAGAGCAGCTCTTGCCTTGCAGAATCTGCCACCTTAGAAGTAGAAGTAGAGAGAGAGGGAAGAAACATACTCTTATTAAGCACCTACTGTGTGTCCAATGCCTTCCATAGGCGACCTTTATTGAGAGTGGTTGGTATTGTCCTTCACAGATCATATAAGGAGACCACAGATCAGAGAGGGTGAACTTCCCAGGGACACACAGCAAGTGAATGAACTCAGAAGTGAATTACTCAGCCCCCACCCCATGTCTGCCGGACTCCTTCGGATCAGTGAACCTGTCTGCCTTCCCCTCATGCCAAGCCTTCCCTAGACCTGCTCCATGGCCTGTGAGTGTCTAGCCAGTGCCTGCCCAGCTCCTGCTGGGGCAGTAGCTTTGAACTTGACTACCACTTCCAACAACTTCTGGCTTCTTCTCACAGCTTGTGTGTGCAGTCATCCTCCAAGTGGTCCGGTGGTCCCCCTTTTTGTTGTTTTCATACAACTCTTGGGCCAGGTCAGGCTGCTACTAGCCTTGTGGGAAAAGAGAAGCAGTGTTTATATAACAAGGTAATGAAAAGTTTTCCTCTTCTGCTTCAAAGCCAGGAAGCTGTGTGTTATGGCAGAAAAGAGGACACGTCAGGCACTTGTTCAAATCCTGAGACCTCAGGCAAGTCATTCCAGTCTCAGAACTTCAGCTTCTTCATCTGTGAGGAATATGGGGAGCTGCTGTGAACCTCCCTTCATATACCCAGGGTCTACACATTTTCCCAATGTAACTATGGTTTAGTTACCATTCCAAATGCCATTCACTTAGCAATGGGAATTTGCTCATTTTCTCTTGGGGTTTCATTTTTGTTCCAGGGCTTCATTTATGCCAAGGTTCCCAAAGGAGGCTGCCTTGTCCTTGTTTTTGACTGGAAATACAGACTGCTGAGACACTGTTCCTCCCTCCTGCCAGCCTTCAGATGCAGCATTTATTCTGTCATTTAGACCCAGAATTGTTCTGTGTTCTTCAGACCCTTGGCCTTGGGCAGAACTGTGGGTGGTTGTGCAAGCCTGACTGCCTGGGTCCACCTAGATTCTCTGGTTCACTTCCTCTTCCCAGGGCCACCTGCCCTGGCTCTGAGAGGGGACGTGGGCACAGACAGCCACCCTCTGTTCTCTACCCTGCATGGGGTAGAGTCTGCATGGGGTTTTCAGAGGCTCTTGTCCTATGTTAGAATTGGGGGTGGAAAAGGGCTATAGGCTTTCCAGAACCACCACAGTTGTGTTTTCTTCCTGTCTCTTGGACTCTCTTGCTTCCCCATCCACTGGGGGAGGTCTCATCTTGGGGCCCAGCACTGGCTTCTCACCCTGACATGACTGGACTTCTTAACACCTCCTATGCCTGAGTTTTAAAGTTCCCAAACTCAGGCTGTAAACACATGCTCATTAACAGAGAGCAAAGGTGACTTTTTCACTTGGTGTACAGTTCTGTGAATTCTAACAGGGTTTTTTGTTTTTGTTTTTAAAATGTAGCCACTATAATAGTGAAGGGACAAAGCAATTCCATCAACCCCAAACAACCCCCATTTGTGCTGCCCCTGGGAGCCCGTCTGTTTTCTGTCTGTAGAGTTGTGTTAATATGTCCTCCTTGATGGCCTGGGGTCTGTGTGCTCCACACCCTAGTAGGGAGACAATCTGTAGCAGCAGGAAAGTGGGGAAAGGACACACTGCTGACATTTCCAGGACCATTGGCCTACACAGGTGACATTCGTACAGTTCAGATGTGTTTCTCAGAAACTGTGGGTGGCATCTTTTCTGCCTCCTTGCTAGACTGTGATTGTATTTGGGAACATTTATGGGTGGGGTTTTGTGAATCAAGAGCTCCATTTAAAAATTTTTAAAAATTAACCAGGGGCAGAAAGACAAATACCACATGTTCTCATTAATGTCAAATGCTAAAAAGTCCATCTACCAGGATGGACTAGTCCCTAGAGACTAGACTAGACTAGACTTCCTTCCTTCCTGCCTTCCTTCCTTCCTTCCTTCCTTCCTTCCTTCCTTCCTTCCTTCCTCTCTCCCTCCCTCTCTCCTTTCCCTTCCTTTCTTCCATTGCATTTCTTTGTCAAAGAACTCTGACACAAAGTTTATTCGCCAGAACTTGGGAATGGAATGCTGGGTCTGCTCCTGCTCTCCAGGAGCAAGATCAGGCTACAGGGTCAGTTTGAGAGGGTTTTCGAATGGGCTCAGACACTCCAGAGGGTTCCAAAAGAGCTGAGCACCCTGACTTTGATGAGAAAACCACATTCTTCTGCAGAGTCTGTTTCAGGCAAGCTTCTTTGCCTTGGAGACTGGTCTTCTCACCTATATTTAGAGCAGACCCTAATCACAGCTGTTGTTGAGACACTAGAGCAGCTTTATACAATCTGTAACAATCCTGTGGGGAAACTGAGACTCCAGGAGGGCAGCGACTTGTTCAAGGCTCCCTCAGCTGGGAAAAGGTGAAGTCAGCCTCTCCTTTGGGGCTGCCCATCTTCAGTGCTCTTCAAGGCCAAGTTGCTTGACAGTCTTTGGTTCAGAAATCACCTGCCTGTGTTCTTTGGAGCTCACTGTGGGCTGTGACGTCAGACAGTTCTGAGCTACAATCTGGCCCATTACTGCCTGTATGATTGGGCAAGACTTTCCTCCTCCTCCTCCTTAAATTTTTGAACATTTTTTTGATTGGTGAATTGAGACCATTAACATTGATTGTTATAACTGAAATGTATTGACTT